ACCTACTATCATATTACAGAAAGCCTATTAGTCAGCATTAAAGGGATGAGGTATTCATGCTCTGTACATGGGCCTTGCATAATTAGGTGAAGTGAAGTAGACCAGATTCAAAAGCCCATACCCTGTGTGGTTTCCACCTTGGCAGAGTGGTTAACTCGGGCCTAGAGAGGTAAAAAGATTCCTTCTGGAGTGAGGGAATATTCTGGAATGAGAAAATGGTAACACTGTGAGCCTGGCGGGGAAAAAAAAAAAAAGCAACTCTCAAATATTTAAAAATGATGGCTTTTGTGTTATGTGAAGTTTATTTTAGTTTTAAAAAGGGTCAGGGGAGCAATGGCTGGGCAGTGGTGGCCCACGCTTTTAATCCAGTACTTAGGAAGCAGAGGCAGGTGGATCTCTGTGAGTTTGAGGCCAGCCTGGTCTACAGAGTGAGAAAGTTTCAGGATAGCCAGCGCTACCCTATCTCAAAAAAGAAAAAAAAAAAGGTTAAATTAATTTTTAAAAATACTCTTCCCTCAAGGAAAGTCCCAGGTTCAGCTGACTTCAGTAGTAAACTCCACCTAAACTTAAGAAAGAAAGGATCAAAGTCCTTCAGAAAACGGAAGGGAAATGGCGCGTGTCGGCTCATTTTGAAGCCAAGCCTTATGTGAATACCCAAATCAGACGATTATAAGATGACAAGGACAAATGAGCCTGCAATGAACACAGACACAGGATACTCAACGGCATTTTCGCTAATCAAATCCAGCAATGGAGGGAAAGGGAAATGAGGACATGAGGCAGCACCGAATCGGGCTGACATGGGGCAGGAAAACCTGGTTCAGCATGGAGGGGCAGTCATTAGAACTTACACAGTAGTGCAAGTCTTAAAAACTGTATGGCCATCTCATTAGAACTATATAAAAGGACGACTTGACAAAATTTAAAAGTCGCTCAGCAAACTAGTTATAGAAGGGGACTTTCTAACCTGGTAAAAGCTTGCTACAACATACTACCTATTACGTCCCCCTGGAGACCGAGAAAGGGGGAAAACAATATGTCTTCCCCACTTCTTGTCAAAATAAAAGCTATATATGTATATATAGATAAAGCATATACATACATATATATGTGTGTAACATGAGGGCCAGCTTGTTGGGGTATCTGTTCCCGCCCAGTACCCCACAGCTGGCAAACCCCAAAGAAAATCACACACAGGACTCCATAAGATTATAAACTGATTGGCCCACTAGGTCAGGCTACTTATTAGTTCTTATGACTTATCTTAACCCATTATTCTGATCTATGTTAGCACATGGCTCCCTACCTTTTTCAGCTGGGCCAGTTACATGCTGCCTCTTCGGTGGTCTGAGCACGAGTGGCAGAGGAACCTCCCTTCTTCCCAGAATTCTCATGTTCTCATTGCATCACCTCTACTTCCTGTCTGGTTTTCCCGCCTATACTGCCTGCCTGGCCAATCAGCATTTTATTAAAATGTGATTGACAGAATACAGACAATTCTCCCACATCATATGTGTATATAGACATAGTACACACACACACACACACACACACACACACACACATATATATAGTTTTTATATTTTCATTTTTGAGATAGGGTTTCTCTGTGTAATAGCCGTGACTGTCCTGGAACTTGCTCTGCAGTTCAAGCTGGCCTTGAACTCATAGAGATCCACCTGCCTCTGCCTCTTGAGTGCTGGGATTAAAAGCACACTCTACCTGGCCTAGATCAATACATATATATTTTTAGATGTGTATTAGTGGTTTTCCTTGCTTGTAGGTCTGTGTGAAGTTGTCAGACCCCCTGGAACAGGAATCATAGATAGCTGTGAGCCACCATGTGGGTTCTGGGAATTGAACCCAGGTCCTCTGGAAGAGCAGTCAGTGCTCTTAACCACTGAACCATCTCTCTATCCCCTCTTGTCAATATTTTACTATCATCCCACACAGCACAAAAAGCACAGAAAGGGAGATGGTAAAGAGGCACATGCCTGTAATCCCAAGACTCAGCAGCCTAAGGCAGGAGGGTTGTGAGTTCAAGACCAGCTGAGAACAGGTAGCTGAGAGAGAAGAGTGTGGGAGCGAGGGGTTCAAGATAGGATCTCTTTATGTAGCCCTGGCTGGCCTGAAAGTAGCTCTGTAGAGCAGGCTGCCCTTACACTCACAGAGATCTGCCTGGAGCCTTCTGGGTGACAGAGATGCTCAGACTGTGACTGTGCTTGTCGCGTGGGTTTATAGGGCCATAGTCATCGTACATGAAAGACTGGGACAATAGGGCTGCAGGTGCACACCAGGAGCTTGATGCCTGTCTAGCATGTTCAAGGCCCTAGCACGTATCCCCAGCACGGGAAAAACACAGCAAAGTGAAACCAAAGGAATGGATGAATTTGATTAAAGCATTTTAAAGGACTCAGAGCACATGCTTAGCAGCGCAAGGTTCTAGATTCAATCTACACACACACACACACACACACATTGAGCCCCCTAAAAGTAATATATTATTATTATTATAGACAACTTAAACATTACAGAAACACAGAAGGGAAAACAGAGAGAAATATAGTACTTATGTATGAAATTCTCAAAAATCGTAAGTGAAATCTTAAAAGATAAGATCCTACAGTTCCAATAAGTACACTGGGTATTACAATTATTTCATCATTCCGAGGACCGTTTAACTGCAAGTGTTTAGGGCAGGCTGGATACGCACGCCTGGAAAAGTGCTAAGTGTTTGCACCAGGGAACCTCTGCCCGTGCTGTTATTCATTATCCTCAGCAGTGCCTGGAAGCCATTGAGACCTCAGTGTCTGCCCTTCCGAATCCACCCGCTGCACACATGGTGGGAAGCGGTATTAGTACACGGCAAACTCTCTCGCACGGTGTTCCAATTACACAAAGCCGGTCAGATTTCTCTTTTGTGAAAGAAATCGTAGGGTCCCTCAGGATAAGAATGAAAGGTGTAGGGGCCGGAGAGACAGCTCAGTGGTTAGGAGCACTGACTGCTCTTCTGGAGGACCTGGGTTCAATTCCCGGGATCCACATGGTGGCACACATTCATCTATAACTCCAGTTCCAGGTGATCTGGAGCCCTTCAGACCTCCACATGCTGCACATCCATACATACAGGCAAAGCATAAAACACATAAAACAGGGGGCTGGAGAGATGGCTCAGCGGTTAAGAGCATTGCCTGCTCTTCCAAAGGTCCTGAGTTCAATTCCCAGCAACCACATGGTGGCTCACAACCATCTGTAATGAAGCCTGGTGTCCTCTTCTGGCCTGCAGACAGAATACTGTATACATAATAAACAAATAAATAAATATAAAAAAATCACATAAAACAAATCTGAAAACAATCTTTTTAAAGATTGAAGGGTATAGAATCACAGTTCTTGGTTCAAACTGTAAGTCTATCACTTGCTACATGACTTTGGACATATTACTTCAACTCCCGGGTATTTGAACAATAGCAGACAAGCAGGACCGATGAAGATTTGTTAAGAGAATTTTTTTTTTCCTAACAGAGAGCCTCATGTAGATTTAATTATAGTTGATTCTCTTGCCTCCATTTCCCAGCTCTTGGAATTACAGGCATATACTGCCATGACTGCGGTGGTGTATTCAACTCCAAGTGCTTCACTAGACACACGATGAGCCCTCAGCAGATAGTAACTGCAATTAAAGTAGCGAAGAGGCTATATCACAGCCTTCCAGGGCTTCCAGGGGATGGCAGGTCCCTTGCTTTGAAGAAGGTGGTGGTGTTAAGGGGTTTGTAGCCAGTAACCATTGTCACTACCTAGATTAGCAGTTCCTGGGCTGCAGCCTTTATAGGATTTGGGATTTATAATGATAATGGTAATGACTCCTTATGCTTTTATGGCTCTTGTGGGTTTATAAAGCACTTTGGGTAGCTTCTGGAAAAGGCTTCATTATAATTCCATTTTACAGAAGAAGAAACCGGGAGGGGCAGGAGCGGGGCTGAAGGAGGTTTCGCAGCTACCCAGGGTAGCAGACTGCAGCCCGGGTGACTTTGAGCTTTTCCAGCTGGTTTTGCCTCTCATACTCTCAATACTGAGTGTCTATGCTCAGTGTTCCGTATGTAAGGTGGCGGGGAGGCCTGGCTGGCCAGGCTCAAGATCAAGGCCTGGGGTAAGTCTCATCACAATCAAGACAATGGGGACAAGCTCTGGTCTCCCTAGGTGGTGTCCCTATGAAGCTGCAGTCTGTTTAGCAGCTCTTCCTGGGATCACCAGACCTTAGAGCACAGGAAAGAAGCTGAGTCCCCGGGAGCCTCTGCATACATTGTCAGAGAAAGGCTGGAGAGCTGCTGGCACTGGACATCTGAGCAGCGCACAGTTTCCTGTAGGGCTAGGGTGTGGTACAGGGTAGGGACAGGAAAGGACACAGGGAGTGCCTTGAGGTGGCAGGAGTGCTCCACGGCTTGAGTTGGAGCATGGTTCCACAGGTGTGTGACGTAAAAGCCACTGGAATTCCCACTGGAACGCACTGAAGATCAGTGCACGTAATTACGTAATTGCGTGTAGGCTGCAACTCCATTTTTGAGCATTCCAGAGACTGTAGCAGGAAGATTGCAACAGTTCAAGGCCAAGCTGGTCTGCCTGTAGGGAGTTGCAGCCGAGCCAGGACGAGCAAGAGCCTGTCTCAAAAAAAGAAAGGAAAAAAAATTTTAAAGTACTGTATCACAAAAGCAAAACAAAACCCAATCTTTCTCTTAAGTATCTCCTTGTTCTTTAACCCCAAAGTAAGGAATGCAGCTTTGCTGGGCGGTGGAGGGGCCTAAGAAGTAGTTTTGTAATCCCTGGTTATGAGTGTCTCTGCTGATGCAATAAACCAAATCCAGCCGAATTAATAAAACCAGGTTTGATCCTAAGCAAAGCAACTCTGGGTGATTCTCAGGGAAAGAAAGCAGGAGAGAAATCACGTGGCAGGTCCAGAGACCAGGTCTTAAATACCCTGTAGGCGTGGTCCCGAGCATCTCCGGGGGAGGAGCCATCGCCTCTTGGTGGACTCTCTGAAGGCAAGGTCCGGGAGAAAGAGGTGGGGCCTAAATGTAGCTTCCGCCTAAACTGTTTATGCCTTTAATTCCAGCACTCAGGAGATAGAGCTAGGCGGATCTCTGAGTTCAAGGCCAGCCTGGTCTACAGAGTGGGTTCCAGGACAGCCAGGGCTACGCAGAGAAGCCCTGTCTCGAAAAACAAAACAAAAAGCAAGCAAATAAAACGTAGCTTTTGCTGAAGCGGGAACTTTGGTGAGAAGAGTCACAGTGCAGGGAGTCTGGGTGACTCCCTGTCTCCTCTTGCAGTTTGAACTATGGGAACTGTCTCCTGAACTATGGGAACTATACTGTGAGTCCTGAAGTTTTGAGGAGCCTGCTTTTCCTCTGAACGACAGTCCTAGCGCCCGGATGGAGGGGTCAGGCCTACAGTTCCCTCCAGCACAGGTTGGTGTAGCATTTTGTTTCTTTCCTCTCCCTGCAGTGGGCTGGCGGTGTTTCGAGACCATTGCTGTTCCGCCTGTGCTCAGTCTACACGTCAATAGGAAGCAGATTTTCACCAGGTCTGAGAATGGAAGGGTCTTGCTCTGGATCTATTTCTACCCTAAGTGTTCAATAAAAAGCAGCCCGTAAGCACCCACAAATCCGTGTGCATCAAATAAACAGTGGTTAATAACAGATGACAGTAACGATTCAAAATGCAAGGCTGGGTGTGGTGATGCAGGCCTTTCTCTAGGAGTTCCAGGCCTGGTCGACACCGCAAATTCTGGGCCAGCGGGGGCGGCATAATAAGATCAGTCTCAAAACAGACAAACAAATGTGAGAGGAGAAGTGGTAAGATTGCTCAGCGGGCACCTGCTGCTAAATGCAGCCTGTGTTTGATGCCCAGGACCTACAAGGCCGAAAGGGGACTAACTCCTTCAGCTATCCTCTGACATCCATGTACATACTTCGTGTGGTGTGTGTGCCCTTCCCCCACGAAATAAATAATAAATGTAAACCAATGTCCAAGGGGAAATTCATAACAATTAAGGTGGGATGTTTTCACTTATCTCTTGGAATGAATCAGAACTAGTCACTAAAACAGTTATGTTAAACAATATACTCCATTGAATACACCATAATTTTTCTTCTGTTGATGAGGCTGTGACCGTACAGTATTTTAAAAAAATTCTGGCCAGGCACTGGTGGTGCGTATCTTTAATCCCAGCACTCAGGAGGCAGGTGGATCTCTGTGAGTTCAAGGCCAGCCTGGTCTACAAGAGCTAGTTCCAGAACAGGATCCAAAGCTACAGAGAAACCCTGCCTCAAAAAAAAAACAAACCCAAAAAACAACAACAAAAAATTCTGTTGTTGTGTGGGTTTTCTTTTCCTTTTTCGGTAGAACATGCTTTTTTGTTCTTTTCTTTCATGTTTTTGTGATGAATTCTCACTAGGTAGTCCTGGCTAGCCTGAATTCACAACAATCTTGCCTCTTGAGTGCTGAAGTTACAGGCGTGCATCACCTCACCTGGCTATTGAAACTTTAAAACAATCATGCTTAGGTAGAAAGAACACCGGAGTTAAAAAAATTAAACAGAGAATTAATAGGTTCTGAGCACAACCTATTAGAATTATCCATGAACATAGTTCAAGGTATTCCTCCTTCAGAGCCCCTCCTATTCTTGAGTTCTCAAGTTTCCTTAATAAATCAGTGTTTGGTTTGCTCAAAATAATAATTTCCCAAATTCTATTTATAGCTCTTCCTAAGCGTCCTCCGGAGATTGTTCTAAGGTGTCCTAGCACACCAGACCTGCAGTGTGCGATGGTGCTCTCCTTACATATAATCTATGCAGTGCTCCTGCATACTTTACTCTCTAGATCACGTGTGACAGCTATAGGTTAGTCTCCTTTACCACAGCGACAAAATACCCAAGGAGACAGACAACTCAAGAGAGGATAGGTTCATGTTGGCTACCAGCTTCAGAGGTTACAGCATGGCCAACTGGCAGCATTGCTCCAGGGCCTGGGCCAAGAGAGAGCATCATGGTGGAAGGGCAAGGAGGACAGAGCAGTTCACCCACCATAGCCAGGAAGCAGGGAGAAACATGCTTGCCCCTTTTGCTCCTATTGAATGGAGCACCCCACAGGATGGGTCTTCCTTGCTTTGTCTTGTTTTTGAGGCAGGGTTTCTCTGTGAAGCCCTGGCTGTCCTGGAACTTGCTCTGTAGACCAGGCTGGGTTCGAAGTCAGAGATCTGCCAGCCCCTGCCTCTCGAATGCTGGGATTAAGAGCATGTGCCCACCACCACCTGGCAAGGACCTCCTTTGCTTAATCATTTTAGGGAATGCCCTCATAGACACACCATGAAGTGTGCTTCACCCATCTCTTAGGTATCCCTCAAGTCCCATCAAGATTATGGTTAGCCATGATTAGCCATACCAGACTAACACAAGGTCACATTACATAGAGCTGTTATACTGTGCTGTTCTAGGAACAAGGGCAGGGAAAGATGATGCAAAGTTCAGTGGAGAGGCACTGGCTTTTTCAGTCTTCAGTAGGCTCAATTAAAGAATGTGGAACCTTCATGTACAGATAGATAACTGTATATAGAAATCAGGGCAAAGTGCTTATCGGGCATTCGGGAAGCCTTGGGTTTGATTCCCAGTACCGAAGAAAAACAGGTGTGAATGGTGCACACCTGTAATCTCAGCACTCTGGAGGTGGAGGCAGGAAGATTAGAAGCTCAAGGTGATCCTCAGCTATGAAGAGTGTTGGAGGCCAGCCTGGGCTACATGAGGCTCTATTTAAAAAGAAAAAGGGAGGGGGCTAGGAGGAAGAAGAGAAGGAAAGAAAGAAAGCAGGAAGAAGTACATTTAACTCTTGAGTAGAAGAGAAAACCAAAACAAATAAAAGCTCCCAAGAGAAAATGTTGCGGCAAATGTCTTCATCATTCATTCACTCGGCAGGCATGGATGAAATGCTCCCTGATCCCAGGACTGTGAAGGGGGAAAGAGATTCACAGCCCTGTTCATGGAGCTCTCACAGAGGGCCTCTGGATGGAGAGAGAGGCACGGACCAGCATAATGCTGACAAAGCCAGCCAGGTGGAGGAGGCGCAGCAGCCAGCTCAGGGGAGGGAGCCCTAGAGCTCAGGAGAAGGGAGTTGACATTTGCTCCACCTCAGCACTTAGGTCTTTGACCTGACTCTAGGCTCAGAGTACAGGTGGCAGGAGTAGAGGCTGAGCTGTCTGGCCTGTCCCTTGGAAGCAGTCAGAGAGAAGAGGCCTGTCCAGGAAGCTAATATAGGCTGCAATTTGGGGCACCCTGGTAGACTTTGGTCTCCCTGGGGAGCCACTCCACACTCGGGCATTATATTACCCTAGAAAAGTTAACTGCCCTTGAAGAGTTGACAGAACTAGCCATTAGCATTTGAGAGATAAAGGCAGGATCCTGAGTTCAAGACCAGCCTGATATACATAATGAGACTGTCTTAAAAATCAGACAAATCTCTCCCCCACCCAACAAGCTGCCTGTGGTAGTTTGATTGTAACTGCCCCCTATAAGCTTATAGGGAGTGGCACTATTAGGAGGTGTGACTTTCTTGGAGTAGTTATGGCCTTGTTGGAGGAAGTTTGCCATTGTGGGGATGGGCTTTGAGGTTGCCTATGCTCAGGATAATGCCCAGTGTCTCAGTCCACTTCCTGTTGCCTTCTTATCAAGATGTAGCCAGCACCATGTCTGCCTGCATGCCGCCATTCTCCCTGCCATGATGGTAATGAATTGAACCTCTGAAACTGTAAGTGAGCCACCACAACTAAATGCTTTTCCTTACAAGAGCTGCTGTGGTCATGGTGTCTCTTCACAGCAATAGAAAATCCTAACTAAGAGGCTGCCCAAAGTTCTGCCCAAGGAACTTTCAATAGAGGGAGGTTCTTGTGGCAAAAGGGACCCTCAGCCAAGAGTGACAATCTCATCCTGCCTAGTCCAGAGCACACCACACACCAGCGGAGATGCTAAGGTCCTCGGCATTATGTCTGATACAGTAGGTACTCAGTTACTGCAGCTACTATTCCAATAAAGACTTGAGTTACTGGGGACCCTGGCATAAGGTGCAGTGTCAAGAGCACTGACTGTCCTCCCAGAGGTTCTGGATTCAATTCCCAGCACCCACACGGTGGTTCACAACCATCTGTAGCTCCAGTTCCAGGGGATCCGATGCCCTCTTCCAATTTCCACCAGTACTACATGCACATGCGCACAGATAAACATGCAGGCCAAACACCCATACACATAAAATAAATTTAAAAAAACTTAACTCATTTATGTGGAAATTGATGGAAGCTGAGTTTCCCTGTATACCGAGGCCTGGAGAATTCTCCAGGGTTGGTCTGTGGGAACCAGAGGAAATCTGTTCCTAATAGAGTTCTGTGCAAGCTCAGCCAGTCCTCTCCAATTAATAAGCCCAGCGGACACGAGGGAACAGATTTCTTCCTGAGCCTGGACACTGCCATCCCTCATCCCCTGGAAATGAGATTATGGGGAGGGCAGGGCCAGGGAGGAAACTGCCCTAACTCAGTTATCAGTCCTGGTTTGTCCATTTTAGCCTGGGAATAGGAAAACGGGAGGTGAGAGCGGAGGGGAAGCCGGAGCCGCTCAGGAAATGACAAATCTGAGAACACGGCTGGGACCATCCCACCTCAGGCTCCCTGAGGCCCATCCTGGAATTAGTGGGCTCATCCCTGCACCACTCTTATCATGTGCTGGTTACAGAGACCTAGGATGCTACCCCTTGTAGCTTCTCTAGCTCAGTCTCCCTAGTGATGGGGTGCTGTCAAGGCCTTCGGGTGACATTACTGCTTCCAAGGCTGGCTGCACTGTTGCTGAGACTGGGGACAGCTGGTCTTGGGTTTATCATAAACCAGATGCTGAACTTTGGGAGGCCTTTGGCACCAGTCTTACCTATAAACGAGATTTATGACCATGCAGGAGACTCTAGGGCCTGTGCTCTTGGCATCCATTCGTCTCCTTCCGGATGGCAAAGCATGGTCACCAGGAGGCTTCTCACCATCTCCCATCAGATTTGTCTCTTGCCCTCCTAGCCTTGGGAACTGGAGGTCTTGTCCTGGCTGGAGTGGTCCAGGCAGAGCCACCCTCTGACTCCATTATGGACTTCAGAAAGCCATGTGAGGACAGGGGGAAGAGGGGAGGGAAGAGCCAGACCAAGAGACCAGGAAGGTCAAGGGTAGATGAAAGCCAAAGACTCAGCAGAGCAAATGGCTGGATTATATAGGGAAAGGCAGCTGGGAGAAGGGCAGCCCAGTTCCTGGGCTGGAAACATTTAGGGTAGGGGACGGGATATGCCCTCCATACCCTGTAACAGGTAGGGACCAAGGGATGCAGGGAGAACCTGGTGGCCAGGTTCACTTTGATATGTCAATGGGCACCTCTGAGAGGCATTTTTTGTCA